TGTTTCAGGGGTATTTTAGTCAATTTAGTTTTTGCAAATTATTTTTTAAATATTTTTATTAGGTGTGCCTTGATGAGAAGAATGGACACCTAAAATTTCAAGTTATTTGGATTTGTAGAAAAACAATTAAAATTCAAACACGAAATGAGGTTGTGATCGTCATATTGTCCTAGATTCAGTCTCAGTCGTTGGGCTTATATGTTCATATGAGCTAGTGGGCTAATCTCAATATTATATATATATATATATATATATATATATATATTTGAACGTTTGTGTCGGAGCCATAGTAGGTTATTAGGCCAAAGTATTAGACACTCAAGACACGGACTAGACATGACACCCATGTCCTCGTCCATGCGACACTGCATGCAGTACATAAACTTTTTGTAATACAGAAAACTTGCATGGAAACTATAAGGCAACAGTAAATTAGTATGTCCTAGCTGTGGACTTCATACATTGTTTGATATTTAAAGAAGTTTAAAGAAAATTCTGGCAGGGTATCTTTATTCTATGAAACTATACCTGGACAAATTCTGGAATGACAAACAAGTCCTTTTGGCAGAACGAATTCTAAGAACTCATAGGTCTTTTCTTGCACGTAATTAATCATAATTTTGCACTCTTATGGACTTGCGCATGCAAAATATATTTAGGGCATCTTTTACATGCTTCAAGTGTGTTGAGCCCCTCTTAAGTACACCCATGACATTCATTAACTTTCTCCCAATAGTTACAATGGAGACTTCCAATGCATGTGCCTTTCTTTCAATTGGGACCATATTTGTATTGGCCCAACCCCACAAAACCTTGGAAATTGTAATTAGAAAAAAAGCCTATTTTTTTCCATGCTCTTATGGACTTGCGCATGCAAATTCTAGTTAGGGCATCTTTTCCATGCTTCAAGTGAAAGGAGTGGCTATAAGAATTCAAGGTATTAAATTTAAAAATTGTCTTTTATTTTTATTTGATATACTTGAATTTCACTTACAAAGGCCACTAAATATTTCTGTAAATCAAAATAATACCCTAGATACGACTTAGGATCTTTATTTTTGCTACCAAAAGAAATAGAAACTGTCTAAGAGCTCTAAACAAACTTCCATTATAATTTTTAATATAATGCAAGTTCTTTAAAATTCACAAAAAATAAGAACTAATTCTAAAAATTAATTAAAATTATTGGGAAGACTAACTAGAAGATGCATGGAGTTACCCTCACAGGTCTCAGTACACCCACACGCAATTCCCTGACCGAAAGCCTATTTTTACTCATGTAGGTGTTGCTGAAAATTCTGAGACAGGAAGCAATTTAGGCAATACTTCTTTCTCTAGGGTTTTAAAGAGCTCAAAAATCAACTAGGGTTTATAGAAACGTTATGGGAATAAACTAGGTCTGAGCTTGTGAGTTGATCTTTCTCTAGGCTGGGCTTCTCCTTTCTTTTCTTCAAAAATACAGCAAACCCTAATTTAGGATTTCACTTGCCCCCCCCTTTTATTCTATTTTACTTTTAGGTAGCATAAGAGAATATGGGAGAGGTAGGTTGGCGTGAGAAAGAGAGATACTACATAGTGTGAGAAAAATATTTTTGGGGCATGACAGAAATTTAATCATAGCCATCCATCCCGAAAATCAGCCATCATGATTTTGGGTGGAAAGATAGAAACATTATCTCCTTGGATTTGACTCAAGTTCAACTCCTTTTTTAAATTTAAAATAAAGCCAATTTTATCAATATATAGATCTTCCATAATCTAGGATAATCTATATTCCATAGGAAATCAAATCTAATTTAAATCAAAAGATTTCCTATTTAAAACAAAATTTGAAACAAGAAAGTGGGGCGTGCTCCCTTTTTCTTAAAAACATGGCGTGCCCCTTTTAGCATAAAAGTGGCGTGACCTCCCTTTTGCATGAAAAGTGGCGTGCCACCCTAGGAGGTAATGTGGGCCCCACATGGGTGGCTTTATGTAGGGGCTGGATCCTCGGTTCCCACATTTGCGTTATCAAGTTCTGAAAATTTCAGAAATACCATTTTGATGAAAATTACAGCAAAAATAATATTTTAAAATTATTAAAATATTTAAAAATCATAAAAATATTTCTAATACCAAAATAAAATATGCTAGGAGTAGACTGATACCAGTGGGTCAAAAATAACGACAATAAGAGCACTCCACTAGCCCTTGAAACCATGATCCACTACTGTTTTCTTATTCTTCCCAACAAAGACCCACGACCCACAGTCTCATTTCAGGAGCGTATGATTGGCTTGTCAAAGTTGGACAGTAAATAGTGGGATTATGATTCTAGAATGTGGATTTCAGTGCAAAGGGAGCTCCCTCTATGCATAGGTACATGTGTCCCTCTATAGGATGCTTCTCAATAATACAGTTATCATGTGTACAATACTATGTGGAAGTCTGTTGAGGTTTTGGCCCTTGCTCTCACAGGCCTATAGCCGCACAAAGGAGATCAAACAGTTCTCTTGGCCTACAAACATCATTCCTGGGCATCCCTCCGACCTTAACGAGGGATTACCCCCAACAAACCCTTCTCGGTAGTTTCATATGCCCATGAGTAAGGGTTTTGGGCATGACCATGGCCATAAATTGCTCAACTCTTGGTCAGTCAACACACACACTCCCACTGAAGTGTAAAATATCATATTTACAAGCTCTTTTGGCCTTTAAAGGCCATAATAACCCGACATCAAGTGTGTTGGGCCCCACTTAAGTTCACCCATGACAGTGACAAAGGAGACTTCCAATGCTTGTGTCTTTCTTTCGATTGGGACCATTTATATTGACCCAACCCTACAAAAACTTGGGAATTTTAATAGAAATAAAACTTTTTTTTTTCTATTTCATTTATTTATTTATAATTTCTACAGAATTTTTAGGCATAACAATAGACATTCTACTAATTATTATTTTATCTAGAATATTTTTAAATTTGTTTTTGTCTCCAGAAAATGATTCCAATAGTCCCATTTTGCTCTTTCCAGTTTCATATGAATTATTTGCAACATGGCCCTCCAAAGACATATGGCAATCCTACTTGCAAACATTGTACTGTCATTTAGAGAAGAAAACCAATTTATTTGGAAGTTTCTATTGGTACATTGAGGCATAATGAACCATCTTGAATATTTTTCTCAAATGATTCATTAAGTTTATTTATTCACCCCAGGAATTCACAATCACTATAATTCCAATCTGTCTAATTGATTGCTAATTTGCTATGTTAAGATCATTATGGCAACTACAATTAAATAATGCCTTTGTAGTCCTCTCAGGTGGAAAACCAAAATGGAAATCAAATCCTATTCTAGTAGGAAGAAAAATAGGATGAATATGAAAACTAAGAAAAAAGAGAAACGGATAAATTCTGAATCTGGATAAATTCTGAATCTACGGTAATTCGATTTAATTACAGTTTCTGTGGAGCTCTCGACATATGAGACAAGTCTTCCAAGTATGCTAGAAAGTTCATAGCAAACCGTAGCTTTCACAGTCCTAATATTTTTAATTTTCTCTATATTATTTTTTGACATGATACCTATCCAAAAAAAAAAATTTAAATAGATATTATGCATTTGTTGGTCATCAGCATTTTTAACATGGGGACTCGGACCTGGGGTGGGGGGTGTGAATAGGTGAAAATTAATAGGCAGTCTTTGAGGGCCTTGAAGTGAAGATGACTTTAAAAAAAAAAAACACATGGCATATTATAAAAGGAAAATTGTTTCATGAGTCAACGGGCACAAGACCTTGAAGTGAAGATGACTTTAAAAAAAAAAAACACATGGCATATTATAAAAGGAAAATTGTTTCATGAGTCAACGGGCACAAGACCCTGTTGACTTACAAACGTCCATTCTAAAGATGAACGGTGGATAAACAAATGCCAAAAAAATTATATTCTTAATTTTAAAAATTTATTTTTCTTTTCATATTTATGATCGTCTTGGTCTAGATGATGAATCTACAAAAGAACTTAGAAAAAAATCATCTAAAATGAATTTTACTGGGGGGCTGCATATGTACATATGAGTCAGCCAACTCATAGAAACCACATCCATTATAAAAACCTGCTCGCACAAACTTGAACAAGTCTGCGTGTGATTGAGTCACCTTTCATCTACATCATTGTTAAGTCAAACAGAAACTGAGATGTGAAGATTATGTAGAAATGAAATTAGAGAGTCTGGCTGAAAGGAACACAAAAAGATTCATACTAAGGTAACAAACAATGTGTTGAATGGAGTCAAGCAAACAATTGAGGATAATTTAGTTGACATTACTATTGTCTTTTTTTTTATTATTCCTATTCCATGATGTGTAATTTTATGTTTTGTGTGAATTGGATATGTATGGTTTTGTCTTAGAGTTAATGGCTTTCTTCTTTTGTGGGGTCTGCCACTCCCAAGTATGGCAATTACTCGGCAAATATATTGAAAAGTTTCTGCTTCGATGAACTTCCTAGTTTCTACTGGTCTTGATTGTGATCTTGCCTCAATTTGGCATCTAACTTACACTTATTTGATTCCAATTTAGTATCTTCTACACCATGAAGTATAAACTTTCGGATCACAATGTTCTATTTGCTAGATGGGTATCTTTCTTCTTTCTTTTATTCTTACTCGGAAGTACCCATCATATTCTAACCTTTATACATTCTCATGGTGCCAAATGCTAGGACAACCTCTTTCAGTGCTTGATGGAGTCCCCATTGCTGTTAAAGATGAGATAGATTGCCTTCCCTACCCAACAACAGGTCTTGCAAATGCAAAGAATAATTTTAGTTTACCTGTCTGTAATTTGTGTGTTAGTGTTGCCAAAATTGAGAATAGTGTATTTGTGCTAGTTTTTAGTTTACCCTTCTTTCTTCTAATTACTCCCTTCTGTTTTAGGCGGCAGCAAGTGGTTGCACAAGCTGAGATCTTGCAATGATGATGCATGCTGTGTCAAACACCTGAGAAGTTGTGGGGCTCTTCTTGTTGGTAAGACAAATATGCATGAGCTTGGCATGGGGACAAGTGGAATCAATCCCCACTATGGGTAGGAGTTGTAAACTTCAGACATTTTATGGCATTATGTTTGTAAAACAGTAAAAGTGTAGGTAATATCGCCTTGATTCTATGTTCTGTTAGATTAGAGGATGAAATCAAGAAAGTTCATAGGTTCCTGTATTTGAGGAAATCAAACTCTTTCTGAATTGCAGAGTTACCAGAAACCCTTATGATAGCACCAAGGTTTCTGGAGGTTCGTCAAGTGGCTCTGCTGCTGTAGTTTCTGCAGGATTGTGCCCAGTTGCTCTTGGTGTTGATGGCGGAGGTATAAAATTCTTTCATAAGACAAATGGATTACAGTTTTGTATAATCATTTATATGAGTTGCTATCAAGGGTTTGGACTTCATACCTTGTCAGTCTTCCACTTCCTTCCCTACACCATAACTTTGTAACAATCAGGGTGTATGAAGTTAAAGTCCATTGAAGAAAAAACATGGAACCATGTAGATTCTTTGCAAAAATGGAATCACCAATGCTATGGGTTTTGGTCTCTTCAAGAGGAGCTTTTTGTGTTTTAAGTATTTGTAATAGCCATCAACAGAGGTCGCTGCAATGCCTTTACATGAATATTTTAGCAAACAATGTGCTTTAGGATGATATTATGCACCTCAGTGAAGCTGTTATCATATAACGACATAATCTTGGGATCAAACCTGGATGTAACAACAATGTGAAAATTCAAGTACTAGTTTACCTAACCAACATTGGATTAAAATATTCAATTGGGGAAAGCAAGATTTATGACCATGTCTTGATCATGCTATACAAATATGCAGACTCTGATTGAATAGGTTGCCAAATCATGAACGGCATCCACTTATTCATAACACTAGTAAAAGAAACATGTATTATTATTTTGCACACTCTCTATACTCCTGATATAATCTTGAGTTAATGAAACTGAACCTGTTCATCTGAAACTGATGCATTCCTAAGAATCCTATATCTTGTAGTAGGATTAATCATACAATGGCCATTTCTTGCTTATTCAACTTGATCATATAGCAATGAACTGTTGAATACCTTTTTCATAACACCAGAAGGGACTGCACATCGACTTTTTGGAACAGCAGAGAGACTACAAATATGCTTGGATATGAACAAATTAGGAATGTATCATATATAATAGAACTGAGTTTCCAGATTAAAACTAGGATAAGCCCTTCTATTTCTTTCTTCTTTTGGCTTGACCTAGTACTTATTTCTGGTGCTCTTGTTTGCTCAGTTGATGGAGTTGTTGCTTTAGTGTTCAGTTGATATTCCCAATTGTTCAGTGTAGACATTTCCGTGTTAGGTTAAGGAGGTATAGTGTAGACATATCATGTGTTTGGTGTGTATGAGTTAATATGCTAAGATCATCCTACTAACCGTGTGTTAGGGGTAGGTTAACATGCTAGGGTTAGCTAACCATGTGTTAGGGGCTTCCTTTAGCAAGCTTAGCCATCTTTGTTTGAAGTTAGGTTATGGAGCTTAAATTGGTGTAGACATGCCCGGGGTGCTTTCCGCTTCACTTCTATAGTAGCTTGGCTTTTATAGAAGAGAGTTTTTTGTGTGAGGTTAGTAAGCCAGGTTAGCTAACCCTTACTCTTAGGGCTCGTTTGGTTCATGCATAACAGTTTGTATATGTAAAACAGTTTTCATATGCAAACAGTTCCCTGTGCAATAATTTTCCAATCCTGTTTTTTCCCATGTTTGGTTCACATATCTGGAATTCCTGTGTACCCACTTTCTTATGTTTGGTAACCCATGGATAAACTATATCCCAGAATCTGGATTAATACCTATTTTTAACCGTTCGATTACAATATAGTTGATTTGATATTGACATCCATCCCATTAAGATGATTTTTTTAAAACGTTCAACTAAAATTCACTTTGTCTTTCATTGGAAAAATCCATTTTGACTCTCACAAGAAATCATATATAATGCTAACAACTAGCAAGGCATGCAGTAAGATTCTCTTGCATGGGTGTTGTTGAAAATGCTAACTGCTAGCAAGGCATCTAGTCAAAGACTAAACACATGTAGCTTATGAATATCTAATAACATAAAAATCAACACGGGTAGGAACAGGGGCGATTACCTGCCCCGTTGGGGGTTCCCACTCCCGTGTCTCTGCTCTGTCTGGCCTGTTCCCTAGGCACCTTTGGAGGGCAGGGAGTCCACAGGAGTTTGATCTTTGATGTCAGCTCTTGTCTCTGCTCTTTCTCGGACTCCTCTAGCTTCGGTGAAGAATCACAACCACTCGTGGATGAGCCAGATCAAGGCCTAGGGAAATTCGGCCTTAGATTTGGAAGGAATGAGAGGACCCAAAAAATCCATTTTGACTCTCACAAGAAATCATATATAATGCTAACAACTAGCAAGGCATGCAGTAAGATTCTCTTGCATGGGTGTTGTTGAAAATGCCAACTGCTAGCAAGGCATCTAGTCAAAGACTAAACACATATAGCTTATGAATATCTAATAACATAAAAATCAACATAAAATTAAATAAAGAAGGTTGACCTTCCTTTTAATAACATAAAAATCAGCATTAACATTTTTACTCTCTTACAATGTTTCAAACATCTAGTACAACATTTGGTATGAAAAAAATTATTTCGAGAATTTAGATAGATTTCTAAAAATTAAAAACCAGCATTGCATAACTAAGTTTATTCCCTTCAAATAAGCATTAACAAATATAAGGAAATGAAAACAGGGCATCAATATCCCACAAAGATACATAACTATGTCACTATCATCAATATGCTTACTATGAGATCATAATCAGAAAGCATATCAGCAGAAAAGAAATGGAAAATAATCCATATTCTAATAAAGAGATAAGCATTCAAAATTCATGGGATGTTTACTCATGAAGCATTTGATTAAAATCTTTTCTAAGTTTTAGGATAAAATGGTGGCTTCGTTTCTCAATACCCTTGTAGTGAAAGCGCTCAAGCATGGCTCATTAATGATAAGAAGGCTTTCAATCAATGATATTTTACAGAATGTTATGGAGTTCCAAACAAACTGTAAACACCCATATTGTAACCCCCACTATGATCTAATATTTACTTGTGACAGTTTATTTCTTCCCCAATGTCACTGCTTACCAAATACTTACTAAAATCTAAACTGATGAAAAAGATTTATGCACTATAGTACCCATCCATTATCTTAATTTTGGAATGACTTGAAGGCTTCATTTGATAGTTTTGAGAGTCAATCCGACTCAGCTCTTTCTAATTTCAGGATAAAATTGAAAAAAGAAAATTCAACGAACTGTAAAAATCACAAAATGGCTTCTATACAACATCAAAAGCCAGAAAGAAATAAAAAGCAAAAAAAAAGGATAACAAAAAACTCCATATCCACATTTTTCTGTAGTACAAATTGTGCTTCTATACTCAATAAAATAAGCCAAAAATAAAAAAGCAACAAATTTACATGGGGAAATCATAGAAAAAAATGATTACATTGATAAATAAAGAAAGAGGACCATCTAGAGGGAAAAACCAGGAAAATCACAAAAATAAAATCCATACCCTTGTTGAAGAAGATGAGGTAGTTTGTATGGTATCCACATTTTTCTATAGTACCCATTGTGCTTCTATTCTCAATAAAATAAGCCAAAAATAAAAAAGCAACAAATTTACATGGAGAAATGATAGAAAAAATGATTACATTGATAAATAAAGAAATAGCACCATCTAGAGGGAAAAACCAAGAAAATCACCAAAATAAAATCCATACCCTTGTTGAAGAAGACGAGGTATTTTGTATGGGGGTTCGTATGAGGGAAACCCTACCTTGTTTGATGAAGAATATTTACGCTATGATGAAGAAAAATAAGCAAAAAAGTAAAATAAAAGAACACCAGCCAAAAAAGAACAAAACAACCATACATTGTTGAAGAAGATGAAAGCTTGATCCTCGCTTGTGGGTCTGTGTGAGAGGACACAAAGGGTTGAGAGGCAGTGGCGAGGGAGGCTTTGCAAGATAGAAGACAAGGGCTTCGAGAGAGAGGGGAGAGGGTTTTGGGGGAAGGTAGGGCTTTGAGAGATCGGCTACAGTTTTCTTTTTACCGTTATTTTTTGTGGTTTCAGCATCGTGTGAATAACTAGAATGAAAATTTTTTTGGGTCTGCTCGAGTAATGAATCCCCGGGAACTTACTCCCCACCTTGTGGGGTGGGGATTTCTTTTCCCATGATTTGCTCCTTGTGGTGGTAAAACTTTTTCCTATGGGACAAGTTTTCACCTGCTCTACACATGAACCAAATGTGCATAACTGTATGCTTCAAAACTATTTCATGATGCAAATTTTCATACGAACCAAATGAGCCCGTAGTGTTTGGTATGCTAGCTTCTATTTCCTTCAAACAAGCCCAACTGTGATTAGAATGCCCAAAATAGCTTCAAACAAAAATACCAAAAGTGCACTTCACCTAGAGATACCAAGACTATCTCTGATTTTAGAAACTGGAACCTCTCAATCAGAGTGATGCTTCTTCTCTAGAACCCAGTTACACTATTCACGGAATTGGGGCAGGTGAGACTTGCAGTTTGATCTTGCCAAAATTGTTGTTTGGTGTTGTCTAAATGGTATTTTACTCTTTTCTATGAACTAACTGCAAATCTTGCCAGACTGAACTGTGATTCCCATATCCCTACGCCTGCATTTCAACCTGAGGTATTGAGGATTAGAGATCTCTATGCACCCGGAAGTATCATTCTGATGGGAAGATTTTGTTTCCTATAATGTTAGACTTGGGTAATAGGTGATGTAGTCTTTTAGTTGCCACCATTTCTAAGATTTATAGTTTCAAAATGAACCATAACTGTTGAAATGTGTGTTGGCTAGGTCTCATTTTCCATGGGGATTGAGTCCATTCACAAGTTGTTTGCCCTATTTATCATGCATAATTGTTGCCTTTTCTCTGATCTGGGTAACAAATGAACAGGATCTGTTCGAATGCCAGCTTCCTTATGTGGTGTAATTGGTTTCAAGCCAACATTTCAGCGCCTCTCTCATTCTGGGTGAATACCTTATGGATCGTTCTTATTTTCTGAAACCATGCATCTGATAACTGTGTCTGACAAAAAATCATAACAACTTATGTTTCAGTGTAATTCCTCTGAATTGGACAGTTGGAATGGTTGGAATCCTAGCTGGGACAGTTGAAGATGCATTAATTGTGTTAGTTTTCATTCAATAACCCCTTCTAGACACTGTAGTCACTTTTCTTTGATCATTTTGTACAAACTAACTTTGCCATTTTCAGCTATGCAGCTATAAGTGGCCATCTTCCTTCTGGTCAATTTATTTCTGTACCGGTGAGATGTGACGGTTTTACTTCTTTTTAATGTTTTAGCCATCCAAGATAAAGTCCAATTCTGAATGCCATCAAAATGTTTATGTATAAAGTCAGAATTGTTACTGAATCAAATGTATATTTCATTAGTAATTCGAGAATGCCGATGATTTTTTTTTTCCCTTGACTTTCAGTTTATGAGTAGCTATATTTACCTTTTTTTTTTGGGAAGTAAATATTCACTAATTTAAAAAAATTGAGAGCATACAAGTTTGGGTGTTGAACAAGATACTGAACGTTCCCCTAAACTAAGTATCCAAAACCACAGAAATAATTTCCAATTTCCAAAGACAAGTTTTGCCTTAGTTATGTGGAGAACCTTGTGGAACTTTCCTGAGCCCATCAAATCAGCCAGGTTCTACAAAAGGGCTTCAAATGTAAGTTTTTTGGCTGGTTTGATTCCTTGTGGATTGAGTCAACATGAACTGGACCACTTGCTAAACAGTGATCTCTCTTAGCTCTTGTGCTCTTCTGTTGTCTATGTCATCATTTAAATAATTTTATTGTGATTAATGAATTATGACACCATGTAATTGTATGGAATTATGGATCTTCTTGTCTCAACCTCAGTGTAGGTTGGATGAGGCTAAACTAAGAACAAAAGAGTGAAGACACAAAAATCTACAATAAAGATGACACAAGAAAACTATGTGCTTGTTTGCAATTATAGTATTCCAAAGAGTGTCTCTATTGACAAGGAAAACTTGTTCGAATTATTTTTCATGCCAATAGTATGATTTTTATCTTTTGGTAATAGTATCTCTCTTCTTTTATGCTTACAATTTCTCCCATAGGATTTGGAACTTCCTCCTGATCATGTTTCTCTTATTTAGCTTGCCAATGTTTGTGTGTGTTACCAGCCTGAAGGAAAATTTCCTCTTCTGCAATCGACACACTCAGTTTCCAATCTGAAGCTGGCCAAGTGTGCCAAGGTTTGTGGTCCACTTCCCAGTCTATGTAACTGCTAAAACTTTCATTTTATTTATTTATATATTTCTCTTTATCAGGTTATTTCATTCATTTATTATAATGCTGATTCATTCATTTGCACATATATCATATTTGTTGGGGTTAAAAAGAATGTTAAGCATCTCTGATGTTCATCATATGTTTTTTTAATTTTTATTTTTGGTACCTTTTCTTTGGAATGGCTCTATTGTTTTCTATATTTACAATGCCATGATCATTTTGTTTTATAATTGGATAGTGGTTTAATGATTGCAACAATGACATACGTAGCTGTTGTGACCAAGCCCTAAACCAGCTAGTGGAGCATTATAAATGCAAGGTACTGTTTCTCACTATCCATGATTGTCTTACCTATTTCAAGATGGTTTTAGGTTGCTAACATAAGATTGTATGTTATTTATATGTTTATCACATGTTTCTGATTTTGCTAGCCAAGGTTAATGGTTTCCTTTATTAAAATTGCCTGGAGCTAATGTTAGTTCAGAAACCACGCTCTATTCCTGCAGCATTTCATGTCTTGATTTGCATTTCTGCTTCAACTATATGTTTCTTATATTTCCAAGTCTTTTTATTGTAAAAGACTGTGGAGGTAACTCTACCAGAGATAGAAGAGATGCGCCTCGCTCATTATGTGACAATTAGCTCTGAGTGCAGTGCCTCAATCCGTCCTTACCTTCAGAAATTGTATGTGTCTTGTGCATATATATTTGTGGAGAATGATTGCTTTGTTCTTTATTCTGGTAATCTGGTGTTTAGGAGGTTAATATCGTTTTTGTGCTGCATTAGGGATGTTGCAGAAGCAGGATGGGATACTAGAATTTCATGCTGTTTCTATCGTGCTTTTAGTAGCAAGGAATATTTGAATGCTCAACGCCTCCGGTAATTTATATGGCTTTCTGCTATTACATTTTCTTTATGAGATCTTTTCGATCATAAAGCATGCTTCGATGGCATGTACAATGCTCTTAAATTTACGACAGCAAATTCTTATCTTTTGATACATTGAGAAAATTTCACTTTGCTGCAACTTGAAGGGCTCTCTAATGTTTCTATTTTTACTCTATTATGGTGGTTTCACGGAATTGAACTTTCTGGAAAGTACCCTATGTCACATTACTTCTCTGAAGTTTGACTTGCAACTTTTTTCTGTTCTGTGTTGATGCTATCTATACAATAGTTCTGTGAGATAATAATAGATCTGTTTCACATACATGATTTCCTTTTGGTCGTTCTCCTCAGTCCTCACCATGTTCAGGCAAAAAATTATGCTTTGTTCAACTCTAAAATTTCAGGTTGTTTTCCATTGAATTCTTAGCGTTAAAATATTAGAAGTTTGTCATTTTGAGCAGAAGATCCCTGCCATAACCAGTTCGTGCAAAGTCATTCGAAACAGTGTAATGTGTTGATATTGAGCATTTCTATTTTAGCAGCTGAAATCAATTTGAGATGAGGTTAAGATTAATTACGAAAAGAACGGATAGGCCAAGATTTGCAGTAAATAATAATTGGAAGTGATGCTACGTATATTGATATTCTTAAGAGGAAAGTTGTTGACATCGGTAGGTTAAAGGAGTGGGCTTCTTTGAAGTGGATAGAAGAACTCATGCTCATAAGGTGCTTATAGACCTCTTTATGGTGCTGAATTATGATGGGGTTAAGTTGTGCTTGAAGCCCATCACTTCATTGCTGAATAGAACACAATATCGGCTTCTTCCATAGGATAACAGGGCTAAGACAGTATAAGTTCTGATTGTGGTGATACAGAATGGTTGAAGTTTCCCTTCTTTGGATGATGTGGGAACCAGAGGCTTATGGCGAGGAGAAATAACAAGCTTCAAACACAGTTCTCTCAAGAAGCAAATTGGAGCTGCAAAGGATAGATATTTTTTGTTTTGATAAGCACTGAGAGAAGGTGCCGTTAGCATTACGATACGAAAATTTATAGTAAATCTCACCTTGCCATTTAGGTTCCAAGGATGGAATTCTGTTGTGGCTCGCTATGGATAGAAAGTGCAGTAAATATGTATCCAAATGGATTTTTGATCTAGAATGAGGGCAGGAGTAAATGTCCAAGGTTGTTAGGGTAGTGGTGGCCTTTCTTCACTGGCTGTGTAGGGCTTACTAAGGATGCCTGCTAATATGAGTGTATACACACCAATTTATCATTAATATACAGAGGTGTATTTGGCTCACATTGGACAAGAGGACTCTTCAAGCATAGAATGTATTTGACTTATCAACACCTTGAAGTAGGTTTACATTTTATACAAGAGTGTACCAAAATACTAGTTTGGGTAGTGATCTCCTCTAGTGGTTTCCTCAATGAGTTCATGCAAAAGCCACTGATAGGTCCTTGACATGTCTCTATCTTGCTTCCTATGCACGACTGGTAGAGAGATGAGGATCCTCGCAGAAGAAACAACCATCTTAAGCATGAAGATTTATGAAACAGATGCTATTATAATAGATTATTTGATGAGCAAGGGTTGATATTGTGGACCCACACAACAATGTTGGAGGAGAGAACAAGACAGGAAAGGGGTGGAACCACTACCGTTCCAGCATCATGTCATATATTTTATATTTTTTACCATCTACAAAGACTACCCTGTGATTTTTCATGTTGTACGCCTAAATCCTCATATGGGCCACACATAAATGTAACATAATCATGATACAAAAGTATATGAAAAGGACAATGTGCTCTAGTGGGTCACATTCATATGGGTCACACATAAATATAACATAATCATGATACAAAAGTATATGAAAAGAACAGTGTGCTCTAGTGGATCGCGTTAGTCTACCCTCCCCCACAAGTTAGCCCGTAAATGTCATGAATGCCCAACTTGCTAATAAATTCAAATGACCTTCCCCACCCAACTCCTTTTATTAAAATTATCTGTGAGTTGTTCAAAGGTTCTCAAATAAAAAAATGGGATAACCTTTGAATTACTTTGTCGTGCATGCAGTGATCTCAACTGTAATGTGTTTAGTGGCACTCATGGAATATTGAGTTGATTGCTAAGTGGATGGCTGCCTGATTATCACAAATAGAGTGGATCGACACTTGAAGAGAAAAACCTATGTCTTTAAGAAGTTCTTTCAACCACACCAACTCACATGAAGTTGACTCCATAGCTCGGTAATCTGCTTCTTCATAGGAGAAAGCTGCAACATTTTGTTTTAGGTAAAAAGATTGCCTCCAGAAAAAATGCCATAGCCATTTGTGGAGAGCGGACATCCTGCACCCCAATATGCACTAGTACACCCACAAAGATCAATGCGACCTTTGTGAATTATCCCCTTCCCTGGAGATGATCTTAGGTAGCGTAGGATGCAACTTCGTCAAGATGGCTAGTGCGTGGAGGATGCATCTATAGTCTGAATGAACTAACCTAACTGCGAACATGATCTTCAAGCAAGTAATGGTCATATAGATAAGGCGACACACTAATTGCTGGTTCTAACCATCATCCTCCAATAAAGTATCAGAATTAGATTTTGGTTTGAAATTGGTGTCCACCTAAGAGTGAAGAAGATCTGCCACCCTCCATGTTCCATAATGAGATCTAAGGTATGCTTACTTTGGGATATAAATTTCCCTCTCTTCAATTGTGAACCTCAAGGCCCAAAAGGTCATTAACCACTCCGATATACTTAATATCGAACTGTGCGGTACTCCTTAAGTTTTGGTATTTCTTTAGTAACGTCCCCAATAAGAATGATATCATCAATGCAATAATAGAATTTATTCCCTTGCCTCTAATTCTTTACTAACATGGAACAGTCTAAGAAGCTAGTTGTATCCAGCATGTACCATGGCTTGGCTAATCTCTCAAACCATACTCGATGTGACTATTTCAAGTAATCGAGGGCTTTCTTAAGGTGACATACAAGGCCTGGTGGTGCCTTGTGACCAAGAACTGTGGGCACTGAATGTAAACTTCTTCCTCAGAATCCCCGTTGATGAAGGCATTTTTAACATCCAATTGTAATAAATGCCAATTCTTATTTGCTTCAATAGATAGGACCTCGATAGTTGCCATCTTAGAGATAGGAGCAAATATCTCATGGTAATCAACTCCATAACGTTGGCAAAGCCTTTTGGCTACATGTCTGGCTTTGTACGGAGCAATGGTATCATTTGCAAGCGGTTTACGTTTCGCACCCATCTTCATTCTGTGACCCTCATTCCTTTAAGTAAATAAACCAACTCCTGAGTTTTGTTTTTTCCAAGTGGCATTATATCATCTTCCTCTTTTAGGACATGTAATTGCTTCATACAAAGTTTTTGGTTCTGAAATAGAGTCAAGGGAAGAAAGAAAAGTGCAATTTGGGGAAGATATCCCTAAGTGGAAGCAAATTTCTTAATTGGATTAAGATTTCTTTAAATCATAATCTGATATGGAGATACCTTGTTCTTGGTCTGATTGCTGCGAGTTGCCAAGAGAAGACAATGTCATCTTGTGAATCTTCATGTTGTTCATTAATAGGACCAAGCTTTCATCGTAAGTCAGAAGGGAGGAGACTCCTATGTAGCAACTAACTCAGGTTGCACAAATGGTGTAATAGAATTTGAAGAAACAATATGATCCTCCCCTTTACATAGATCAGATGATTATGTGGGTTCCTTAAAGAAATATGATACTTCTTCCAAAGAACAAAACATTTCTTGAAATATAGTGCTTTCTTGTTTTGGGATTTTTAAAGAAGTATGATACTTCTTCAAAGAATATGACATTCCTTGAAACATAGTTCTTTCTCCTTTTAGGATGAAAAAATAAGCATTCTTTATGGGTGGAAGAATATCCTAGAAAAATGCACCTGATAGATTTTACTCCCAACTTATTTTTAGTATTTTCTGGTAGATGGGAATAACATGCACACCGGATGACCCTAAGATGCTCTAAACAGATTTTTGTTTAGTTAACTTTTTTTAAGGGTGAAATGCAACCAAAACCAGCAGTAGGTAATGTATTTATTGTGAATGATTCAACATATACAGCACAACACCAATAAATCTTCATTACATTCATTGTAGACAAAATGGCCTTAATTACCGCCAGCAGATGTCTATTAATGTTCTCCTTAACCACATTCTGTTGTGGCTTAGAAGAGCAAGATTTTGTTGAATAATTCCATTTGAAGGGTACTCAATTATGTGCCGATTGACAAAGTCTCTTCCATTGTCAGATTGTAGAGTGCAAAGTCTGGCAATGTACTACCTTTCAATCATTTGTTAAAAACTATAAATCCAAATACTACTTCATGCTTATATTTAATATGGTAAATCCATGTAGTACAAGAACAATCATCAATAAAACTAACAAAATACTTATTACCAACAAAAAAGTAAAGGGCATTGGCCCCATGTATCAAAATGTAACTACCATATCAAATTGTTTGTGGCTGAAAGGAGTGGCTATGTGGAACAAGGTATTAAATTCACAAAATTTCTTTCTTTTTTATTCAATATACCTGAATTCCATTTACATAGATCACTATATACTGCTGTAAATCAAAATTAATACCCTATATCATAGTTGTTGGAGGAGGGAGTGGGATCAGTTCGGGATTCGCCGAATAGCCCTATAGTGGAAGCTCCCTAGGGTTAGGTTTAGTGTCCGTACAATGAACAAAACAAGGAACGAGATCCTTAGGTTTGTGAGAGTGAGATCCGATGCCAATGGGTTCGATGTTTTGACTAGCTTGAATCTAAGCTCTACTATACAAAAAAATGAGGTTGTAAGGAGAACTAATACAAGTTCCCTTGGTTAAGGAATCGAGGTTTAAGTATGTCATATAACGGGGTTCCTCCTGTTCTAATAGTGAGATTCTTAAAGTATCGGAATCAAGGTCCTCAACTGATTGGCCCCGAGGTCCGCAAGTGCTATTTACCATGGATCCCTTATCAAGTGTCCCCCGCCCTTAACAATGGATTTATTTATTTTTGCGCGAATAACAACGTATTAATTATGTAGCTCTATAAGTCAGTCTTTCTTATGAGCACTAGATCTTCAAGCCATGACACAAGTTTGTCACGCATCATTCCCTTTAAGTCCGCAGCAACCCAGAATCCTACTACTCAGAAGTCATCTTCTTCGAATGTAGTATCATCTGCTTGCATTATTTCTCAAAGGCTGGCTCCTTGAAGGGACAAGAGGACAAGATGAACTACTCTCTCTCTCCCTCTCTCTCTCTCTCTCTTTCTCTCTCTCTAACTGATGTAAAAGAAGCTTTTTAGAGCTTGAAGTGAAAGCATATATTTTCATCTCACAACTTTAATCAGATTTAAGACTCTAAAACAATAGGACATCATAAATAGAAGATTTTAAATGAAATATATATTCTCACAACTAAGAGGGTTGGCTTACACAATAGGACTTAATAAAACATTGGGTCAATCTAGACTATGCCTAGTTCAAGTTAAAAATCTAAAATAATAGAACTTCGTGCTATGTAAAAAAGGGGCTGGATTTTAACATCATGGAATTTATGATTCCTAAATAATGGGAACTAACCTGGTATCATCTGTTAATGAAAGTAAAACCCACAAACCTGGAACCCAAGATTTTATTGTACCAAAACCTTGGACCATGGTTGATGGGAGCAGGGATCTATTTAGAAATGGAACTCGATTCCACTTATGGATGGAACGTGGTCCCCATTTTTTGGGAGGGAGATCCCAAAAGCGAAAAGATGGGGTCCTTATAAGATCCCTTGCAGGAACCATGGGATCAAGGTTCCAGAGTGGGATCATCACCCTATCCACAAGGTTCCCTTAACTATGCCCTAGATACAATCTAGGATATTTTCTTTCCTTACTACATCAAATAAAAAACATCCAGGAGTAATAAACAATATATGTTCTTGAAAATTCATAGAAAAATATGAAATATTACTGAAAAATAATTAAATCTACTGGGAAGACTTATTAGAAGATGACTGGAATTACCCTCACAAGTCTTGACACACCCCACACTCGATTCCCTGACCGATGACGCACTTTTAGTCCTTAAGGTCTTGCTGTAATTTCTGAGATAGGGATGCTTTTCGGGCAATACCTTTTCAATCTAGGGCTTTAGAGAGCTCAAAACTCTATCTGGGTTTATAGAAGCCCTATAGGAACAAACTAGGGCAAGGCTTAAGGGTTTATTTCTCACAAATTTCTAAACTCGAAATTTTTAAAAATCATAAAAACATTTCTAATTTCAAATAAAATATTTTAGAAGAGGACTGTACCAACGGACAAAAATTAGCACCAATAAGGGTACTCCACTTGAAACAAGAACCCTTATCTACTACTATTTTATCATCCAACCCAACAAGGACCCATGACCCACAATCTCAATGAAGGGGCTCATGATTAGCTTGTCAAAGTCAAAAAATAAATAGTGGGACCATGATCCTGGAATGTAGATTTTAGTCTCTCCCTTTAATATCAAATCTAACACTTGTCACCACAGTGTAAAGAGGGCTCTCTCTATACATACATGTGTCTTTCAATAGAGCTGCTTCCCAATAATGTGGTTGCCATGAGTACATGTCATGCAGAAGTTTGTTGAGGCTTTAGGTCTTGCTCTCACAGGCCTATAACCAACACAAGAGACTATACAGTTCTTCTGACCTGCAAACATCATCTTTAGGCATCTCACCGACCTCAACAAGGGATGACCTATTGTAAACCTTCTCAGTAATGCCACATGCTTAGGAGTAAGGATTTTGGACATAACCAAGGCCATAAACCGCCCAATACTTGGTCAGTCAATACACATATTCCCACTGAAGTGCATATTCCAATATAAATCATCATATTTACAAGCTCTCTAGATCTTTAAATGCCACAAAACCCAACATCTCCCACTTGGCCTTTGAAGACCGTACAATCACTCCCTCTCAGTTTCTCTCAAGCCCATCCCATGTGCATGTTTGGCAAAACCATTTACCACCAATCCTTTCATCAAAGGATCTGCGAGCATAGCCTCTGTTGGGAAATAAGCAATATGAATCTCTCCTGCTCGGATCTTGTTGTGAATGTGGTAGTAGCATGGTTTTATATGCCTCGAGATCTCTTGTAAAACCTAGGCTCTTTTGTCACACAAATAGCTGCCTGGTTGTCGCAGAAGATTGTAACATAGGGGCACTTCACTGGATCAAATCTAAGTTGATTCAGGAACTTCTTCAACCGGACTGTTTCTTTAGCTACAAGACAACATGCCACATCCTCTGACTCCATAGTCGAGAGTGCAACAATATCATGTTTCTTTGAGCACCAAGAAACAGCTCCACCTGCAAGCGTGAAGATATATCTAGATGTGGACTTTATCTTATCTAGATCGCCCTAATAGTCCGCATCTGAATATTCTTGTATTTGTATATCCGAGCCTCCTCCATAAGTGAGTGTGTAATTAACTGTTCCCTTCAAATATCGCAATACTCTTTTGATGGCCTTCCAATGCTCCATGCCTAGATTACTCTTGAACTTTCTAATCAAACCCATGGCAAAAAGATAAATTCGATCTTGTCCTAGACATAGCATACAATAGTGACCCAACTGCACTTTTGTATAGAATTCTTTGTATCGCTTCCTTTTCTTCTGGAGTAGCGGGACACATGGCTAGCCTTAGCTTGGTCTTGTTATCAATGTGGGTTAATATGGGTTGGCAATTTTCCATTTCAAATATTTCAAGAATTTTCTTGTGATATGTCTCTTAAGATAAAGGAATCAGGCTTGGGTCAAGACGGTAGAGGCTGGGTTTTTATAGCACAACGTCTCAAGTTCCATTCCTATGTAACCTTGTCAAAAACGACAAAAAAAAAATGTCCCTTGAGATAATTGAGTAATTATCTCCTTTCTATTTTCTGGTAAATTTGATTCCCAAAACATTTGATGCTTCTTTAAGATCCTTCATGTCGCAGTGTTGTGACAAGAAAACTTTTGTTTCCAATACGAGACTCATCGAACTACTGGCAATAACATGGCATCCACATAAGAGATGAAAACGTCACTTCCACTGACCTTGACTATATAAAATAATCTGGTTAGGCACAAAAACTTGCCATTGGGTAATCTTGATTCCCAAAACATATAATGCTTCTCCAAGATCCTTCATGTTGAAGTGTTGTGACAAGAAAGCTTTTGTCTCCAATATAAGACTCGTTGAACTACTTGCAATTAACATGTCATCCACATATAGAGAGATGAAAACAACGTCACTTCCACTGACCTTGACATATATACAATAATCTGTTTAGGCACAAAAACTAGCAGATGTTAAGGTTTCTTGAAACTTAATGTACCATTGCCTTGATGCTTATTTAAGGTCATAAAGGGACTTATTGAGTTTACACAATAAGCTTTCCTTTCCTTTTTCTATGAAGCCCTCTGGTTGTTTCATATATATATATATTTCTTCTTCTAGCTTCCCATTCAGAAATACAGTTTTAAGATCTATCTGGTGGAGTTGAAGTCTAAATGGACTGTTATAGCTATTAGGATTCTAATGGAGGAGATTTTTTTACAGGGGAGAACGTCTCATCATAATCTGTTCCTTCTTTCTGGGTAAACCCCTTAGCAACTAATATGGCTTTGTATTTCTCCAAATTCCCTTTTGAGTTCAATTTCTTCTTCTAAATCCACTTGCCGCCTATGGGTTTTCTATCAGGAGGTAGTTTCACTAGTTCCCAAACACTGTTTTATTTGATCGAGTTAAGTTCATCAATCATGGCTTCTTCGCATTGTGCCTTTTCATGGCAGGTTATGGTTTCTTGGTAGGAACAGGGTTCATGTAGGGATTCTTCTTCAATTCTCTCATAATATTCTCCTAGATAGGTGAAAACTCTGGTTTTTTATCTAATTCGGTTACTTCTCCTAAGACGAGGTGGTTCGGGATCTAGGGCTTGACTCATGTCAGTCTCTATCTCATAAAACTCGGCTTGTTTCTAAGTAGCACAACCCTCGAGGAATTCTTCCTCAAGGAAATGGGCATCCCCTACTTTCAAAGATAGCCCATGTGGCAGGATTATAGAAACAATATCCCTTACCATGTGGTGGGTGTCCTAGAAGATGGACTTAACAATTTAGGATCTAATTGTGTCATATTTTAATGGGGTATTAAGGCATGGGCAGAGCATCTCCACACTCTGAGGTGATCAAGGGACGAAGCACGACTAGTGAAAATCTCGTGAGGGGTTAGTGGAACAACCTTAGTGGGAGTCTGATTAAGGACATAATTAGTTGTCAAAACAGCTTCTGCCAAAAAATCTAGGGTGAGTTCACATCATGCTCCTCACCATCTCCCTCAAGGTCCTATTTTATTTCTCAGCTAACCCATTTTGCTGAGTGTACTGCATTTTGTACTGATGTTTATAGTCAGCTTAGTATAGAGTCCTTTAAATTGTCCTAAGGTATATTTTCCACCCCTATCAAATCTAAGGACTTTAATTTTCTGGTTTGTTTGGGTTTCTACCACGGCTTTATACTCTTTGAAATAGTTTAGGGCCTTAGACTTTTCACTTAACAGATAGACATGGCCAAAGCTGGAGTGATCATCAATAAAAGTGATAAAGTACCTCTTGCGGCCTTTAGTGGCCACATTCATAGGTCCACAAATGTCATTATGGGTAGCTTCTGATATGCCAATAGCTCTCTGAGTTCTCGAAAAGAATTTCTTTACCAGCTTTCCTTGAACAAATGATTCACAAACTCTGGTTAAGTCTCCATTTAGATTATTTAATGGGCCCTCTCTCTTTAATCTCTCCATCTTTTTAGGATTTATCTGCCCTAGTCTCATGTGTCATATATACGCATCATCATTGTTATCCTTATAACATGAGACATAAGAAATGGAATTTTTTATTGCAACTGAAAAGAAACCATCTAAAAGATGATCATTCATGACCAATTCATTCCCATATTTCTTTTCCACCTTATTACAAGTAAAAATGGTGGAGTAGCCTGCCTTAGCCAATCTAGCGATTGAAACCTCCTCATCTCAAGAACATAAAGAGTTTGCTTTAGGACCAAGCTTTTTCTGTTTTCAAGTTGAAGGATGAAATCTCTAATACCCAGAATTTCAGTCTATGGATTCCCCCCAATATAGATAAATTGATCCCTTGGGGCAGCATGCTTAAAATTCTAAACCCGTCCTTGGTGTTTGACACGTGGGTAGTGGAATCTGTCAAAAATACTATGACCCTACTTTAGGGTCCGCTAGAATGGTTTCAAGGAGCACACAAGCATGCTCCCTATTACTCTTGATATTCGTATTCTTAGGTGCACTACAATACTTCGTAATGTGCCTAATTTGTTGCAGTTATAGCACTGGGTATTTTTTAAGTCCTTCCTTTTCTTAGGCTTGTTATTCCGTTTTTTATTTTCATTGGTTTCCCTTGGCCTTCTTCTTCTTGAATGAACCAGAGTTGGGTTTAAGATTTACCAGATTTACAAAGTCATTCAAAGCTAAAATATCGTGAGAAAATCTTCTTTCTTCGTCAGATTTTAGCTTGGTGATGATCCCATCCAATTTTGGCATTCTCTCTCTTGCAATGAGGCCTGAAATGAAACTTCCCATGAGCTCGGCATAAAATTCAGCAACTGGCAGATTTGCGTGTTTTCATCCAACTTAACTTGCACAGCCTTGAGTTCGCGTACTAAAGCTTAGAACTGCTCTATATGCTCAGTTAATTTGCCTCCTTCCTTCATCTTCAAATCTGAATATTAGTTCATAGCTATTGTTTTCCTTGTGAGAGAAGGAGAAGCATAATCGGTCTCAATTCGTTCATGAATGTCCTTTGCAGTCTTCATGTGCTCATACTCATGTGCATGGGTGTCATCCATGGCTATAAGTAGGACATGCTTTGCTAGAGTTTTTTTATGCTGCCACTGAGCATAATAAGCATGTCTCTTGGACTGTCTTTCATAAACATTACCCCTTAGGGCAGGTGTAGGATTATCAGTAAGCATTTGGCTTCAGAAAATATTTTTGAGGACGTATGAGTGGATGTTTTCTTCATAATCAATTAAGAAAGTGATTTATGTCCATCTAATATGTAACAAAATTCTCCATAATCTAGGACTTGACCCTTATCTTGATCAATATAAGAACACAAAATCAAGGTAAAAAATGGATTGATTGCAAAAGACAAGGAACTTAACTGTCAACTAATCATTCAGTTGTTATGGAAGATCAAAAGGGACATGGTTGAATCATGGTTTTCTCTTTCCCTTTCAAAAAGCCAAGTTAAAAAGGAATTTATTATGCTGCTGACATTCTGGTATCTCAGTTTTGATTTTGGTGTTGGAAGCACATGTGAATGGTGGTTTGTCGTCAGCCATTCTACAATTCAACCTTTCCTATATGATATCCATACATATGCATGCATGCAGGTTTGAATATTGAGAGAGAGAGAGAGAGAGAGAGAGAGAGAGAGTAGTTTACTAAT